TAAGGAGACTCTGTCCTGCTCAAGAGGTTCGGGGTGGGGGGGGGGGTGAGACGGGAAGGGGGGGTGGAGTGCTTATTGTGCTTTTGGAAGAAGAAGAGGAGGAAGTCATATTCTTGGTTCTTTCGGTAAAGTCACGTAGATAGAAAACAAACAAAAATAATAAAATTAAATGAAAGACCGCTTGTGTTGCAATCGAAATGTCGTGGGTTCTTTGCTTTTATTATTTTACATTTTTTTAGTTTTACTATTCTTTTTGTAGGTTTTTTGCTTTTATAATTTTCAATGTATTTTATTACTTTTATGTTTCTTATCTTTTATCTACGTGACTTTACCGAAAGAACCAAGGATATGCATTCCTGCAGTCACGGAAGGTTTAAGTCAAAAAGAAGCGGAAGATGATGATGATGATTATGAAGAAGATGGAGATGCAGAAGAATAGGAAGAAGATGGAGACGAGGAGGAAGAGGATTAAGAAGAATAAACACGTGTGCAGCAGTGCGACACACGAAGAGTTTGCCGTGCGGGCGCTCTCCCTGGGGCCGTCACCTCCGAGGCACGCACGTGACCTTCGTTTTTATTAAAACCATCCGGGACATTGCGGGGAAAAAGACGATCTCGCAGCAAATATATCGCACGGGCGGAAAGCCACAATGCGAAATGCAGTCTTGTCCTGAGCGGTAAAAAAAATATGACGCGTATTACGACAACAACAGGATTGGGACTTTTGTTTTAATGATGACTTGTCGATGTTTAGAGTACAGCCGTAGCCTCCTTCCTCAAATAATAGGAGGATCGACTCAAACCGTGGGGCAGGGCCGTGCCGAGGGGGGGGGGGTGCGGGGGAGCCCGACACAACAGATGCCGTCAAACTAAACCCCAATTATTATTACATCTCACACCGCGGCTTCGAAGCGCGCGCGCGCCCCCCCCCCCCCCCCCACACGGCCAAAGCGCGGGGCCCGGGCCGATCGCCCCGATCCGCCGTGTACCCCCTAGGGACGGCCTCTGACCAACCCTGGGAACACCGAGGCGCGTGGCTGGCGGGCTGGGTGGTGGTGGTTGTGGTTGGCTACTCGCGCTGTGCGCCACAGGACGCAGAGAGGAGGGGCGGGGGGGGGGGCTCTCCCTCGCTGAAGGACGAATACAACTTTCAAGGCACCTTTGTGAGGGCAAAGACAAATGCAAAGATCACCCGTATAGCCTCAATAGGATGTTGGGGAAAGTGGCGATTATCTGAACCGGTCCTGGGCCTCGCCTGAGTAGCCTCAAACTTGGAAGACAAAGGCGGCCGGGCGTGATGCTGCCCCCCCCCCAAAATAGAACAGTCCCAAGCACAGTTTAGTTTCTCCAGTTTCTACAAGTGTGTTGTGTGTGTGTGTGTACGTAGAGTCGAGTGTCTGTGGGGAGCGGTGGTGTGGTGGTTAACGCACTGCGCTACGAACCCGGTGACGCGAATTCGATTCCCGCTCACGGCCAGTGACGATTATCTCAACCGGTCCTGGGGCTCCCCTAGGTCGGCTCGGCCTCAAATGAGCACCTGGTGCGGTGTGTAAGCATCGCCACTGGGGAGACAAAGGCGGTCGGGCACGGTGCTGGCCACCCAACCCCCCCGGTGTGCCGTGCCGGCCTTCATAGGTGCTCGCTAACAGTACTTGCCCCAACACTCCGCTTAGAGCTACACGGGGGATCTTTGCGTGCGAGGTGAAGCATGATGATTGAGAGCCAATTAAATAAAGGCCGTCTCGGGTTTCACAATTCCCTAGAGAGGCAGCCAAAGTGAGCACTTGTTTAGGTGTTGGGGAGGGCGGGGCGGTGGGGGGGGGGTCTACGTAGTTCGTGTCCGCTCCGACGAAGTAGCAACATTCAAGGTTTTCATCTTCTTGGTTCTTTCGGTAAAGTCACGTAGAATGGAAATAATAAAATAATAAAAAATAAAACATTATAAAATACTTCTCACGACGTTTCGGCCACAACGCAAGCAGCCGTCCTCAGGCGAAGAACAGGTCTGTCGGGGAGACAGCGTCTGAATGCGTTGTGGCCGAAACGTCGTGAGAATTATTTAATAATGTTTTATTTTTATTATTTTATTATTTCCATTCTACGTGACTTTACCGAAAGAACCAAGAAGATGAATCCCTGCAGTCACGAAAGAAGCTTCAAATCGAAATTCAAGGTTTTATTTTTTGTGGCGGCGGAATTTCCCTGATCTCGAGCATCGGACCGGTGCGTTCACCTTCAGCCGGAACGTTCCAGAACCCTCGTCAATGAATCGTATTCTGGCCCGCCACAATCCCCTCTCGCCTACAACAATGAGATGATTCTCATCATGGGACAGGTGCCTGACGCTGAGAACACTATGCAACACCATTTTTGTTCCTGGGTACTAAGTGTTATGTTTTTTTATTGCTTATGTCTAAAAAGGTATAAAAATTGCTATTATTCCCCACAAACTTTGCTTTTGTGACCAGGACTTTATGTGAACGAAAGACACAAATGCACACCACGTTTTCTCATTGAAAATAGGTACTTGTTTTAATATCACTGTTCTGGTCACAAAAGCAAAGTTTGTGGGGAATAATCGTCATTTTCTGTACTTTTGAGGCATAAGCAATTAGGAAATTTCACTTACTGCCCAGGAACATTTTTTTGTTCCACAGTGTCATCTCTACTCTAAGCCAGCCTCAGCGGCGTTCCAGAAATTATCGGGTGAGAAATGCAGTCCCTGGAGAGATACGGATAACAGGGTGAGGATAATGAGGGCTTCATTTCATCATCATCATCACGATCCATAGGTGTCCACTGCACATTTTGTCACTTGTTTTCCACTTTTCCTCTCTGCCTTGTGCCAATACGAACAAGCAGTGTGCCACGTGTCTCTCTGACACGAATCTCTTACGACCTCGTCAAACCGTTCTCTCGCTCCGGTGACTTTCATTTATCCCGAACAACAACAACAACAACACTCTTCTTGGTTCTTTTGGTAAAGTCACCTAGAAAGGGAAATAATAAAATAATAAAAATAAAACATTATTAAATAATTCTCACGACGTTTCGGCCACAACGCAAGCAGCCGTCCTCAGGTGAAGAACAGGTCTGTCGGGGAGACAGCGTCTGAATGAAACACCACTACGCTTGGAGCGTCTATTTAAGCTGGGTTGGAAGGGGGGAAGGGCACCTTGACAAAATAATTTGCATATAAAGAGGAATTTAGCATATTTATGGGAAATGCAGGTATGTGATTAGTACCACTTGTTTATTATTATTTTATTATTTCCCTTCTACGTGACTTTACCAAAAGAACCAAGAAGATGAATCCCTGCAGTCACGAAAGCTTTAAATCGAAACAAAAACAACTTGTAATGTTCCAGTTGTTGTTAATAAAAAATAAAGTAATAAAAAATCACGACGTGATTTTTTATTATTTTATTTTTTATTAATTTTAATTTCATTTTTTATCTACGTGACTTTACCGAAAGAACTAAGAGTATGCTCCAGCAAGATTACTGTAGCTACTGTAGCTACAGTGATTTTGCTGGAGTTGCCTTCGAAACGTCGTGATTTAATTTAGTTGTTTTTCATTGTTTTAATTTTATTGTTTACCTGCGTGACTTTACCGAAAAAAACAAAGAGTATGAATCCTTGCAGTAACGAAAACTTCAAATCTAGAATGCATCGACTTTGTTGCAGACCCATGATTCACTTGAAATTCAAGCTTTTCGATTGTTTTTTTTATTCTGATTCAATATTTTAAGCGTTTAGTATAAGAGGTATTTAAAAAGCAGTCGGGCACTTTGGATTGTTCAAGACGATTTCATAAATTGCCTGGCGATCGCAGGCATCGAATAAAAACCGCATCATTAAAACCTCGTCATCATCACCCTCCTCCTCCTCCTCCACGCGACCCTCTCTCCTCGCTGCCTCCTCCTTATTATCAACATCATCTACATCTTCTCCCCATGCGTACGTGAGAGTAGCCGTCCACTGTGGCTAGGATATGTTAACTGCCTCGCCTGGTACACAGGAGGTCGTGGGTGCGATCTCGACCCTGACGCCTGCTGCTGCTGTATTTTTGGAGTTTGAATGTCTCTCTCTCTCTCTCATCATCACCTGTGGCTAGGAGATGTTAACTGCCTCGCCTGGTACACAGGAGGTCGTGGGTGCGATTCCGTCCCTGACGCCTGCTGCTGTATATTAGGAGTTTGAATGTCTCTCTCTCTCTCATCATCACCACGGTGGCTAGGAGATGTTAACTGCCTCGCCTGATACACAGGAGGTCGTGGGTGTAATCCCGACGCCTGCTGCTGCTGTATATTTAGAGTTTGAATGTCTCTCTCTCCACATGTTAGCGCGACATTTTTCTCCGGGTTCTTCGGGTTTTTTTCCCTTTCCACATTTAGAATCAACATCACGCGTTCAGAGTATTTGGCAGTCATACATTTGCACGTCATAAAGCCTGGTAAAATAAAATACAAAGTTCAGTTTTAGTGATGCCCAGCAAGTAAGTCCCAGCGTGGCGTGAGCATCGCTCTGTCGCGAGCGCGATCTGAAATCTCCTGGGCTCTGGAATCTCCTGGGCTCTGAAATCTCCTGGGCTCCTCCCGTTCTCACTTGTTTGAGTCCTCCCCAAGCTCCGCCGAGTGGTGCGCTTCGAGTCCACACCCTGGCGGACATCCCCTCCCCAGAGATTCACAGATTCATCACCTTGTCGGATTTCTGCTCTCCCTCTCACGCTCGCCACCACCACAAACCCACACCTCGTCCTCGCACGTGCCGAGTCCACGTGCTACTCTCTGTGACGCGTGCGCTCCTCCCTGTGACGCGCGTGTTGAGTTCCCCCTCCTCCCCCCGTGCTCACTCACTCACACCCTCCTCCTCATCTCTCTTCTCCTGCCCGCTGTCAACCTACACTCCTCCTCCTGCTGCTTCCCTCCCTCCTTGCGTGCCCCCCTCCCCCCACACTCCACCCCTACCCCCCCCCCACCCCCCTCGGTGCGACCGCTCGCGTCACTTGCACGTGTACACCTCGGCCCTCTCGCTGCACGTGTTGCACTTGACGAAGCAGCACCAGTGGAACTTGCAGTTGCACTGCCACGAGCGCGTGTGCTGGTGCGTGTTGTAGCCGCGGCCGCAGCAAAGCAGCTCGCAGCCGTCGGTGAGCGGCGAGGCGCGGTCACAGAGGCGGCCTCGGGTGCCCGGCGAGCCGGCGGCCGCGTCCTCCTCGCAGTAGTTGGGCGAGCGCTCGAGATAGACGAGGTCTCCATCGGCTGGCTTGCGGAAGCTGCTGCTGCCGCTGCCGCTGCCCCGCGTCTTCTTGAGCTTGAGGAAGGCCGGGCGGTGGTAGCGGCCGGCCACGACCGCCTCCACGTGCGCCGCCGCGTGGTAGCGCTCGCGCAGCGCGTGGCCCATCTCGCGGTAGCTGGGCAGCGTGGTCCAACAGGTGCGCGTCGTGCACGAGCCCGACACGCCGTGGCACTTGCACTCCAGCTTCATGCGCTCGTGCAGCACCTGCGCGGCGGCGTGCGGAGGGCGGGGATGGAATGGGGATGGAGGGGATGGTGATGATGGTGATGGTGGAGATGATGATGATGATGGAGATGATGGTGGTGATGGGGATGATGGTGATTATGGAGATGATGGTGGTGATGGTGGTGATGATGGTAATGATGGAGATGGTGGTGATGATGGGGATGATGATGATGGTGATGATGGAGATGATGGTGGTGATGATGGTAATGATGGAGATGATGGTGATGGTGGAGATGATGGTGATGATGGGGATGATGATGATCGTAATGGTGGTGATGATGGAGAATGGGGATGATGGGGATGATGGTGATGATGGAGAGGATGGTGATGATGGGCATGATGGGGATGATGGTGATGATGATGGTGATGGGGATGATGGTGATGATGGGGATGATGGTGATGATGGAGATGATGGGGATGATGGTAATGATGATGATCGTAATGGTGGTGATGATGGAGAATGGGGATGATGGGGATGATGGTGATGATGGGCATGATGGTGATGATGGAGAAGATGGGGATGATGGTGATGATGGAGATGATGGAGAGAATGGGGATGATGGTGAGGATGGGCATGATGGTGATGATGGAGATTATAGAGATAATGGGAATGATGGTGATGATGGTGATGATGGTGATGATGGGGATGATGGTGATGATGGTGATGATGGGGATGATGGTGATGATGGAGATGATGGAGAGAATGGGAATGATGGTGATGATGGGGATGATGGAGAGGGTGGAAAGGATGGAAAGGATGGAGGGCAGAGCAGCGATGATGATGAGTAATCGGCGTTGATCATGACAATGGTAATTATCCCCAAATGGCTTTCAGACATTCAGGCAATTACCGACTAAACATACATTGACTTTGACTCCGATGGAACTCGCTTAAAAACAAAACTACTGTACTAGGTCTAGCTCCAGCTCCTCTCGGATGGGGGGGGGGGTCAGCAGAGCCGTCGTGAGGGGTGCGGGGCCCGGAGAACACCCCACCGTGTGGGCCCCCCACAACGCGTGGAGCCCCCCCCCCCCCAAACTCCGCTGCGTGGCACGCGTCAAGTCCACAATCTCGCGGACTCCCCTCCCCAGATTCATTATCGTTGTCGGATCTCTGCTGCCCTCCCTCTCACGCATCTCAACTCCCCCCCCCCCAACTCGCTCTCGTGTACCCGCACACGCAGAGTCCCTGTTGGAGTCTCTGGCTCTGCGACGCCTTACGCGGGTAGCACGACCCTGCGCGTATGTTCCACGTGTGCTCCTCTCTGTGACGTGTGCGCTCCTCTCTGTGACGTGTGCGCTCCTCTCTGTGACGTGTGCGCTCCTCTCTGTGACGTGTGCGCTCCTCTCTGTGACGTGTGCGCTCCTCTCTGTGACGTGTGTGCTCCTCTCTGTCACGTGTGTGCCGAGTCATCCCCTCGTGTGCTCGCTCACACGCGTCAACTCTCTCTGCTCACTCGCTCACACCTTCCTCCCCCTCTGCTCATCGTCATCTCTCTTCTTCTATTCGTTGTCAAGCTCCACTCTCTTCCTCTTCCTCCTCCTGCTGCTGCTTCCATCCCTCGCTAGTGCCGAGTCCGCGTACTCGGCACGCGCCTTAGAACTACACCGCAAGTATTGCATCTGACACCTCGCCCACCTCGCTCCCCTCGCCCCCCACCTCGCTCCCCACCTCGCCCACCTCGCTCACCTCACCTCCTCACCTCGCTCACCTCGCTCACCTCGCTCACCCCGCTCACCTCGCTCCCCACCTCGCCAACCTCGCTCACCTCCTCACCTCGCTCCCCACCTCGCTCACCTCACCTCCTCACCTCGTTCCCCACCTCGCTCACCCTGCTCACCTCGCTCCCCACCTCGCCAACCTCGCTCACCCCGCTCACCTCGCTCCCCACCTCGCCCACCTCGCCCCCCACCTCGCACCCCACCTCGCTCCCCACCTCGCTCCCCACCTCGCCAACCTCGCTCACCTCGCTCACCTCGCTCCCCACCTCGCACCCCACCTCGCTCCCCACCTCGCTCCCCACCTCGCCAACCTCGCTCACCTCGCTCACCTCACCTCCTCACCTCGCGCCCCACCTCGCTCACCACTTCGCCCACCTCGCTCACCTTGCGCCCCACCTCGTTGTTGTGCAGGTTCATGAGCGTGCGCGCGCTCTGGCGCACTTCGCGCGCGTCCACGAATAGGCGCGAGAAGTGGAGGCCGTACTGGAGGTCTGCCGAGCATCCGCCCCAGCGCCAGCCCTCGCGCGCGCTGTACGCGCCCTGCTTGGCGCGGTCGCAGCCGCAGTCGCTCAGGTTGCCGCGGCTGCACGACGCCGTGAGCGCGTGCGCCACTCCGGCCGCCAGGATGGCGTGGGTGAACGCAGCCTCCCTGCTGCCTGCGGGCACGTCGTGAAGGGGGTGGGGGGGGTAGCGATATGCGGAGGTTCAAACGCAGCACGCCGCTAAGGTGGCTAGGAGATGTTAACTACCTCGCCTGGTATACAGGAGGTATTGGGTTCGATTCCGACCCTGACGCCTGCTGTATATTTTGAATTTTCGTCTCTCTCTCTCTCATCATCATCACGGTGGCTAGGAGATGTTAACTACCTCGCCTGGTATGCTGGAGGGTCCGTGGGTTCGATCCCGACCATGACGATGCCCTGCTGCTGTATATTTGGAGTTTGCGTGTCTCTCTGTCTATCTCGCTCATCATCATCACGGTGGCTATGAGATGTTTACTGCCTCGCCTGGTATGCAGGAGGGTCCGTGGGTTCGATCCCGACCATGATGCCTGCTGTATATTTGGAGTTTGCGCGTCTCTCTCGCTCATCATCATCATGGTGCCTAGGAGATGTAAACTCCCTCGCCTGGTGTACAGGATACCTTGAGTTCGATCCCGACCCTGACGATGCCTGCTGCTGTGTATTTGGAGTTTGCGTGTCTCTCTCTCTATCTCGCTCATCATCATCACGGTGGCTAGGAGATGTTAACTACCTCGCCTGGTATGCTGGAGGGTCCGTGGGTTCGATCCCGACCCTGACGCCTGCTGCTGTATATTTGGAGTTTGTGTGTCTCCCTCTCTCATCATCATCACGGTGGCTAGGAGATGTTAACTCCCTCGTCTATGTAAGCAGGAGGATTGTGAGTTCGATACCGACCCTGATGCCTGCTGCTGTATATTTGGAGTTTGAATGTCTCTCTCTCGCTCATCATCATCACGGTGGCTAGGAGATGTTAACTACCTCGTCTATGTAAGCAGGAGGATTGTGAGTTCTATACCGACCCTGACGCCTGTTCTGTATATTTGTAGGTTGCTGTCTCTCCCCCCCCCCCTTCCCGTGGTCGCGTGGATTTTTCTCCGGGTCCTCCGGTTTTTCGCTTTACATTTAGAGTGAACGCGCGTTAAGAGTATTCGGCTGATATTAATTTCCGCGTGATGATAAGCCACTTCGTTGGGCTGTCATTTGTGATCGCCAGGTTGCTTCTGAAAAATAGCTACATAGCTCAGTGGGCCTTACCTGTTAAAATAAATAAAAAGTTCTTTTTTTAGATATCTTTGGCGTCTGACGAGAGTTGGGATGTTAGGGAATGGCAGTGGGGGGGGGGGGGGGATTTAAGGCTGAGAGTGTCAAGGGGATGTGAGACTCGGGGAGATCAGTGGGGTGTGAAATCTCGCACGCAGGAGCTAATCCTCGTGTAGCCGCCACTGCTGCCGCTGCTGCTGATGTTGAGCTCAGGGAAGTGATCTCATTCCTGGAGTGAGATGAAAACTCCATCGCATGAATTTGTCCATTCATACGGCGATTCGTTGAGAAGATATATTAGTTATCCTCAATGGCAGCTGTTGACTTGCTGCAGTTTGGCAAATGTTGGGTGGGATGGGGGAGGTATGGAGGGAGGGAGCTTTTTATGGATCTCAGGTTTTAAGGAATGTATTGCTTTGGTGTGGTGATCAATTCGTTGTGATGATCATCATCATAGTCACGAATCACCAATCGTGTAATAAATAATCATCATAACGATCACTCATCATCATGGCCGTCAAACATCCAACCAATCATCAAATCGTCGATTTTCCAATCGATCATAATCATAACTCACTCAATTATTCACCGATATTCATCATCACTATCAATCATCAGTGTCATCATCCGATAACTCACTGTCCAATATCAATTTACATTCTCTAATTACGTGATAAAACATCCAATAATACATGGACAGTCGTATAATCACCGACCAATCAGCATCAATCACGAATCATAAATCTATCAACCACCAATCATTAATTATCCAATCAATAATCGTTAACACATTATATCAGTCACGCCGATGCATATGCCTGTCTGAACACGGCGTTCTGTCTGAGCATTCCTCAGTACCATTCATCATTCACCATCTAATCGATCACCAATCAACAATTATCGATCAATAATGAATCGTACCTACGCGTATGTCCTAGCCGAACGCTCTGTACTCGCCACACCCCTATAGCACCACCATCACGACCGTACCATCATCTAATCGATCACCAATCAACAATTATCGATCAATAATGAATCGTACCTACACGTATGTCCTGGCCGAACACGGCGTGCTCGCCACACCCCTATAGCACCACCATCACGACCGTACCATCATCTAATCGATCACCAATCAATAATTATCGATCAATAATGAATCGTACCCACGCGTATGTCCTGGCCGAACGCTCTGTACTCGCCACACCCCTATAGCACCACCATCACGACCGTACCATCATCTAATCGACCACCAATCAATAATTATCGATCAATAATGAATCGTACCTACGCGTATGTCCTGGCCGAACACGGTGTACACGCCACACCCCTATAGCACCACCATCACGACCGTACCATCATCTAATCGATCACCAATCAATAATTATCGATCAATAATGAATCGTACCCACGCGTATGTCCTGGCCGAACGCTCTGTACACGCCACACCCCTATAGCACCACCATCACGACCATACCATCATCCAATCGATCACTAATCAATAATTATCGATCAATAATGAATCGTACCTACGCGTATGTCCTGGCCGAACACGGTGTGCTCGCCCAGCCCCGAGCAGTTCCAGCGGCCCTGGCGGAACTGGTATCGGCACTCGTCGAGTGCGCGCTGCGCCCCCTCGCCCAGCGCGATGATCGCGTCTGGGCGACTCCTGCAGACCGCTCGCTGCCGCGGCACGAGGCCCGGTATCTTGTTGCAGATCGTGTTGGCTCCCAGCGCCACCACGGACGAGAGCGCTCTGCGTGTCGTGGTGGTGGTGGATTGGAGAGAGGAAGGATTGAGGAGTTAGTGTTTGGAGAATATAAAACACATTGTCCTGCGGAAGGAGCTGGTAGGAACGTTGGGTTGCTCGGTCAATGTGGCCAGGGTCAACGGCGGCGTGGTGTATTACGCAAATATGCCCGACTGTGAGGGCGGGCACAAGCCGGCGTGAGTAGGTTAAACGTTGAGTTTTATAAGGGCACCACGGGGTAACCAGCCCCTCCCCACCCAGCCCCACCCAGCCCCACCCTCCCCACCCAGCCCCCACTCAGCCCCACCCAGCCCCTCCCCACCCTCCCCACCCAGCCCCTCCCCACCCTCCCCTCTCCACCCAGCCCCACCCCTCTCATTTTTGGATGAACGACGGACGGACGGACACAATAATCCCCTGTGGGCTGGTGTAACCAGGAGGTTCCTACCAGTAAAATAATTATTAATCTCATCTTGTGTTGCAGATGATGTCGGTTCCCACCACGGACGACAGCGCTCTTTGTGTGGTGGTGGTTGTGGTGGTTGTGGTGGTGGTTGTGGTGGTTGTGGTGGTGGTTGTGGTGGTTGTGGTGGTTGTGGTGGTTGTGGTGGTGGTTGTGGTGGTGGTTGTGGTGGTTGTGGTGGTGGTTGTGGTGGTGGTTGTGGTGGTGGTTGTGGTGGTTGTGGTGGTGGTTGTGGTGGTTGTGGTGGTGGTTGTGGTGGTGGTTGTGGTGGTGGTTGTGGTGGTGTGGTGGTGGGGTGGTGTGGTGGGTGTGGTGGTGGTGGTGGTTGTGGTGGTGGTGGTGGTGGTTGTGGTGGTGGTTGTGGTGGTGTTGTGGTGGTTGTGGTGGGTGGTTGTGGTGGTTGTGGTGGTGGTTGTGGTGGTTGTGGTGGTGGTTGTGGTGGTGTGGTGGTGGTTGTGGTGGGTTGTGTTGGTGGTTGTGGTGGTGTTGTGGTGGTGGTTGTGGTGGTGGTTGTGGTGGTTGTGGTGGTGGTTGTGGTGGTGAGTTGTGGTGGTTGTGGTGGTGGTTGGGGTGGTTGTGGTGGTTGTGGTTGGGGTGGTGGTTGTGGTGGTGGTTGTGGTGGTGTTGGTGGTGGTTGTGGTGGTTTTGTTGTGGTGGTTGTGGTGGTTGTGGGTTGTGGGGGTGTGGTGGTTGTGGTGGTGGTTGTGGTGGTGGTTGTGGTGGTGGTTGTGGTGGTGTTGTGGTGGTTTGTGGTGGTGGTTGTGGTGGTGGTTGTGGTGGTGGTTGTGGTGGTGGGTGTGGTGGTGGTTGTGTGGTTGTTTGGGGGTTGGGTGGTTGTGGTGGTTGTGGGTGGTGGTTGTGGTGGTTGGTGTGGTGGGTGTGTTGGTTGTGGTGGTGGTTGTGGTGGTTGTGGTGGTTGTGGTGGTGGTTGTGGTGGTGTTGTGGTGGTGGTTGTGGTGGTGGTTGTGGTGGTGGTTGTGGTGGTCAGTGGTGGTGGTTGTGGTGGTTGTGGTGGTGGTTGTGGTGGTTGTGGTGGTGGTTGTGGTGGTTGTGGTGGTGGTTGTAGTGGTTGTGGTGGTGGTGTGGTGGTTGTGGTGGTGGTTGTGGTGGTGGTTGTGGTGGTGGTTGTGGTGGTGGTTGTGGTGGTGGTTGTGGTGGTGGTTGTGGTGGTGTTGTTGTTGGTGGTTGTGGTGGTTGTGGTGGTGGTTGTGGTGGTAGTGGTTGTGGTGGTTGTGGTGGTTGTGGTGGTTGTGGTGGTTGTGGTGGTTGTGGTGGTGGTTGTGGTGGTTGTGGTGGTGGTTGTGGTAGTGGTTGTGGTGGTGGTTGTGGTGGTGGTTGTAGTGGTTTGTGGTGGTGGTTGTGGTGGTGGTTGTGGTGGTTGTGGTGGTTGTGGTGGTGGTTGTGGTGGTGGTTGGTGGTTGTGGTGGTTGTGGTGGTGGTTGTGGTGGTTGTGGTGGTGGTTGTGGTGGTTGTGGTGGGTGGTTGTGGTGGTGGTGTGGTGGTGGTTGTGGTGGTGGTTGTGGTGGTGGTTGTGGTGGTTGTGGTGGTGGTTGTGTGGTGGTGTGGTGGTGGTTGTGGTGGTGGTGGTGGTGGTGTGGTGGTGGTTGTGGTGGTGGTTGTGGTGGTGGTTGTGGTGGGGGTTGTGGTGGTGGTTTGTGGTGGTGTGGTGGTGGTTGTGGTGGTGGTTGTGGTGGTTGTGGTGGTGGTTGTGGTGGTTGTGGTGGTTGTGGTGTGGTTGGGTGGTTGTGGTGGTGGTTGTGGGTGGTGGTTGTGGTGGTGTGGTGGTTGTGGTGGTGGTTGTGGTGGTGGTTGTTGGTGGTTGTGGTGGTTGTGGTGGTGGTTGTGGTGGTGGGTGGGGGTGTGTGGTTGTGGTTGGTGGTGGTTGTGGTGGTTGTGGTGGTGGTTGTGGTGGTTGTGGTGGTTGTGGTGGTGGTTGTGGTGGTGGTTGTGGTGGTGGTGTGGTGGTGGTGGTGTGGTGGTTGTGGTGGTTGTGGTGGTGGTTGTGGGTGGTGGTTGTGGTGGTTGTGGTGGTTGTGGTGGTGGTTGTGGTGGTTGGTGGTTGTGGTGGTTGTGGTGGTTGTGGTGGTGGTTGTGGTGGTGGTTGTGGTGGTGGTTGTGGTGGTTGTGGTGGTGGTTGTGGTGGTGGTTGTGGTGGTGGTTGTGGTGGTGGTTGTGGTGGTGGTTGTGGGGTTGTGGTGGTGGTTGTGGTGGTTGTGGTGGTGGTTGGTGGTGGTTGTGGTGGTGGTTGTGGTGGTGGTTGTGGTGGTTGTGGTGGTGGTTGTGGTGGTGGTTGTGGTGGTGGTTGTGGTGGTTGTGGTGGTGGTTGTGGTGGTGGTTGTGGTGGTTGTGGTGGTGGTTGTGGTGGTTGTGGTGGTGGTTGTGGTGGTGGTTGTGGTGGTTGTGGTGGTGGTTGTGGTGGTTGTGGTGGTGGTTGTGGTGGTTGTGGTGGTTGTTGTGGTGGTGGTTGGTGGTGGTTGTGGTGGTGGTTGTGGTGGTGGTTGTGGTGGGTTGTGGTGGTTGTGGTGGTTGTGGTGGTGGTTGTGGTGGTTGTGGTGGTTGTGGTGGTTGTGGTGGTGGTTGTGGTGGTTGTGGTGGTGGTTGTGGTGGTGGTTGTGGTGGTGGTGGTGGTTGTGGTGGTTGGTGGTGGTTGTGGTGGTGGTTGTGGTGGTTGTGGTGGTGTGGTGGTTGTGGTGGTGGTTGTGGTGGTTGTGGTGGTGGTTGTGGTGGTGGTTGTGGTGGTTGTGGTGGTGGTTGTGGTGGTTGTGGTGGTGGTTTGTGGGTGGTTTGTGGTGGTGGTTGTGGTGGTGGTTGTGGTGGTTGTGGTGGTGGTTGTGGTGGTGGTTGTGGTGGTTGTGGTGGTGGTTGTGTGTGGTGGTTGGTGGTTGGTGGTGGTTGTGGTGGTGGTTGTGGTGGTTGTGGTGGTGGTTGTGGTGGTTGGTTGGTGGTGGTTGTGGTGGTTGTGGTGGTGGTTGTGGTGGTGGTTGTGGTGGTGGTTGTGGTGGTTGTGGTGGTGGTTGTGGTGGTTGTGGTTGTTGGTGGTGGTTGTGGTGGTGGTTGTGGTGGTTGTGGGTGGTTGTGGTGGTTGTGGTGGTGGTTGTGGTGGTGGTTGTGGTTGTGGTGGTGGTTGGTGGTTGTGGTGGTGGTTGTGGTGGTGGTTGTGGTGGTGGTTGTGGTGGTGGTTGTGGTGGTGGTTGTGGTGGTGGTTGTGGTGGTGGTTGTGGTGGTGGTTGTGGTGGTGGTTGTGGTGGTGGTTGTGGTGGTGGTTGTGGTGGTGGTTGTGGTGGTGGTTGTGGTGGTGGTGGTGGTGGTTGTGGTGGTTGTGGTGGTGGTTGTGGTGGTGGTTGTGGTGGTTTGTGGTGGTTGTGGTGATGGTGGTGGTGGTGGTTGTTTTGGTTGTGATGGTAGTGCTGGTTGTGGTGGTGGTTGTGGTGCTGGTTGTGGTGGTTGTGGTGGTGGTTGTGGTGGTTGTGGTGGTGGTTGTGGTGGTGGGTGGTGGTGTGGTGGTTGTGGTGTAGTGGTTGTGGTGGTGTGATGGTCGTTGTGGTGGTTGTGGTGGTTGTGGTGGTTGTGGTGGTGGTTGTGGTGGTGGTTGTGGTGGTTGTGGTGGTGGTTGTGGTGGTTGTGGTGGTGGTTGTGTGGTGTTGTGGTGGTTGTGGTGGTTGTGGTGGTGGTTGTGGTGGTGGTTGTGGTGGTGTGGTGGTTGTGGTGGTGGTTGTGGTGGTTGTGGTGGTGGTTGTGGTGGTTGTGGTGGTGGTTGTGGTGGTTTGTGGTGGTGGTTGTGGTGGTGGTTGTGGTGGTTGTGGTGGTTGTGGTGGTGGTTGTGGTGGTGGTTGTGGTGGTTTGTGGTGGTTGTGGTGGTGGTTGTGGTGGTTGTGGTGGTGGTTGTGGTGGTGGTTGTGGTGGTTGTGGTGGTTGTGGTGGTGGTTGTGGTGGTGGTTGTGGTGGTTGTGGTGGTTGTGGTGGTTGTGGTGGTGGTTGTGGTGGTGGTTGTGGTGTGGTGGTTGTGGTGGTTGTGGTGGTGGTTGTGGTGGTGGTTGTGGTGGTTGTGGTGGTTGTGGTGGTTGTGGTGGTGGTTGTGGTGGTGGTTGTGGTGGTGGTTGTGGTGGTGGTTGTGTTGGTGGTTGTGGTGGTGGTTGTGGTGGTGGTGTGGCCGCATCGAGGGGGCTAAACGGACGGGGGGGGGGGAGTGTGGGCGGGGGGTGGGTCATTAGCGTTTTCGACCTCTGCTGAAAATCGTAACAAAGAAAGTTGCGTTATAATTAGCGGACTGCGTTATGGACACCTTGACCAGAACACCGTGACCTGAACACCTTGACCTGAACACCTTGACCTGAACACCTTGACCTGAACACCTTGACCTGAACACCTTGACCTGAACACCTTGACCTGAACACCTTGACCTGAACACCTTGACCTGAACATCTTGACCTGAACACCTTGACCAGAACACCGTGACCTGAACACCTTGACCTGAACACCTTGACCTGAACACCTTTACCTGAATCCAATTCCCTGCCACGGCTGACCACGGCGACAATCGCGC